TATATATATATATATATATATATATATATATATATATATATATATATATATATATATATATATATATATATATATATATATAGAATATTCTAGCAATACCTGTAAATTAGGTCATGCATTTGAATAAATTATTATTATTAGGTCTTAATAATTCCTCCTTGGATTTAGACTTATAGAATATAAGTGACCTCGCCCATATTCGTTCACGTTCAATGTCAAGGAGTAGAGATTTTCCTTTAGTAACCGAACCCTGGTACTTTGCCAATAAATCTTTAATAGAGAATGCTTTATCACTGCCTAAATATTAGCCTGCGAACAGGCTCTCAAGCTGAATTGAGAGCCTGCATCGATGACTAATGAATTTGAATATCTGCCCCGTAACGTTCGTTTGTCCAAATATGGAATGTCTATCCTTATATGGTGTTGTTTACAACTTTCATGCAAACTAAATTTAGACCGTGCAAACTAAATTTAGACCGTACAGTTTATACTGTTTTTCGAAATATAAGATATTCAAGCAAAAGTTCAAATGTTTTAAATACTGTTTTCTCAAAACAGAACATTTCGTGCTTTGAGATATTATGGCCAAGACTAATTTGATCAGTTAATGTGTTTTTTTATGCATAGTGCTTGCAGTTGACATATATAGAGCTCAGCGGAAACATATAAATTATAGCATCTGACCAATGAGAATTTAGCGTCACGATTTGAGACGCAGAGATTCAAATTCATTAGTCATCGATGCAGGCTCTCAATTCAGCTTGAGAGCCTGTTCGCAGGCTACCTAAATATAAAAGTAATGTTATCCAACATCTTTTAGTATGCTGTAATTATTCAGACATTTGGCAATTTGCACCACTATGATGAAATTTCAGCTACCATCTCTTTTTATTTTGAGATTGCTAAGGAAATGCAAAGATAAATATAGCTCCCCTGAGAAATAAAAGCTAGCTGTTATGAGGTCACTAGTTAAAGATCCTACAGTAATAGAAAATCTAGTACAAAAGTTGGTGCTGTCAATATTGGCAAACCCCTGATTATGCTGCATTATTTGTGATCGTATGGCACATTCACAACAGATACATGTAGTATTAACAAGGCTCCGTAATCTGTATAATATTTACAGTACCTAATGTATCCTTGCTGTATCGTGACTCTACCATCAATGATTCAGGATCATCTGATTCAAATTCTGTAAATTAATAACATATTCTTACACCTTTCCATACAATCCAACAATAAATCTCAACTAGGTACAAATTACTGAGCAGCCTTACAGTACCATCATCAACACTGCAACACATCCAGCAAGACTTGCTGCAGCTTTGTTCAGATCACCATCAACTGTTGACAATACAGAACTTAGTTTTGCTGTACATTCATTTGGAAACATTTCTTTTAATGTGGCAATATCCTAAATGGAAATTAAAATCAATACAATAATTGTATAACAATTTGTACACATCGATCTCAAATGTACACATCCAAAATCCTAGCTACCGTATCATAAACTGTTGTGCTCATGTATTCTTCAAGTACTTTACCATACATGAATGAGTACTGGTTTCTATTGTATGTCAGCCAGAGTGTCTAAATTCCATTATTAAGTTTTTTCCATTACACCCAAAGTAAATACCTTTTCTCTAATACTTTCATGTTGTTCCATTGAACTTGACTGACAATCACAATGATGGTTTCTCATGACTGACAAAGCCACAACTTCACCACAATTCACACACTTGATAGTGGGCACACTTTTCAAATCCACATTATCATCACTAACCTACATATTCAGCGTACATATTAACAAGCAACCAAAAATATTATAAATGCATGGAATCTTCATTTTGTTAAAATCTTCAAAGAAATTGGATCCCTTGCTGTTCCCAATTTTTTGTATAAATCAGTAACTTACAATTAAGTAAACATAGTACTAGCAACAGTTTACCCACACCCAAAACCATTGCTTCTAATAATGCATTTACACAAACTCCTTTATAACCTGTCTTTTTATTATTGTGGTACCAAATGGGGCAAATTACATGTATTAAGGGACTCACTGAACTGTGTAAATATTGCATCAAAAATTCATATCGCCGCCACTCCCACAAACGTCTACAACCACACCTAGATATTTTTGCATGTTTACAATTCTAATTTAAACAGCCAATTGACATTTAATTGTAATTGTTACCAAAAACCGGATTGGTTGTTTAAAATTAGAATTGTAAACATGCAGAAATATGTAGATGTCGTAGACGTTTGTGGGAGTGGTGGCGATATGAATTTTTGAAAATATAAATAAAATGAAGATATAAATAAAATCTGCCTGTGGTATCTACTTGGAAATACTCTCAAAATTTATTTGTGGTATCTGCATTGATATTGAATACCACTTGCCAACTGTGAAAAGATTTACAGTATTAAAAGTGTACTAGCACTACAAGTCTTCATCCTCATGATATCAATATTTTCATACTAACTCACTTTTGAAACAGATTCCATGCTTAAATTTTTTTGCATTGGCCTTATATAGGCAGTTGCATGGCCAAGACCATCCTTGAGTACAGGGACAGTATAGCCCAATGGAGGAATGGGGATGGCTGAAAGAAACCTTCGGGCACAGCTGGTTGTCCTTAAAATTTCAAAAGCTCCATCCAAATCCTTCATTTTGGGGAACACTTTTTCTAAAGTACTCCTTACGTGAGCGAATGACCCATTCTTGTTGGGAAACACAATCTTTTGCTCCCCCAATCCTGCGTCATTTAGTTCGGATTTCTCTGGTCTGGTTGGAACTGTTTCGGCATCCTTATTAGCGAGACAAATAAACACGTGAGTCCACGTCTCTTTGGGCTTGAACTTGGGATATGGTGCGTACTTGAAACGGTTTGTGCTACCTTTTTGTGCCTGAGTTTGAAAGTACGGAAACAACTTCGTTATCTCTGATAAATTTTGGCCGCTGCTGGTACCTTGACTTGTACTTGGTTCTGATGAAGTGGCAGAAGTATTTATACGAACACCTGAAACCGAGTCGCCCACAACAACAGTCGAAGGAGAAGCTTGACTTGTTGGCATTATATCCTGACTGGACCTTGGTGAATTCTGTAAAATTCCGACAGGGGCGGATCTAGGATTTTGCGTACCTCAGTCAAATTTTTTTTGGTGGACAGGGCGTTATCAGCGCTGGGCGTGGTCTCAACTGGGCGTGGTCGACTCCAGGCGGGAGGGGGGAGTGGGCGCTAAATAATTTTTATGCTGATAGTCCGGCACCGGATTTTTAGAATTTTCCGTATATAAAATGCGATTTGGTCCCCCCCCCCCACACACACACCTATTAACCTAAATCCTAATTAACCAAATTATGGAACATATTTAGATTGAATTAATAAACTCAAACGAACATTTGATGTTAAGTCAAATATGTTAAGTCAAATATTAATAAACTAAACCCTTACTATTAATATTTATTTGTTTATTTATTTATTTAACTTCGCCATTATCATGCATTCATGGCAGGGTCACCACAACAGTATATGTTACCAATTACTGTGGGCCCTTTAATTTTAAATAGATAATAAAACACAAATAAAATACAACGAAAACTTCGATTTACCTGATCAAAGTCATCACACGAATTGGAACTTGAAGCCAATCAAACAAATTCCTCGAAGTTTTCGTTGTATTGTATTTCACAAACATACTTAATTAGCTGCTTGCAAATTTTATAAAACATATAACAATTCATAGAATATCAAATAGCTATTGAAACATAATAAACAAGGCTAGGAAGACCTGACTACTTCGAAAAATAAATCAAAACAGTAAAGATCCTGGACGTGCACAAATTGACACAAATCTATCCAAATTTAGACAGAACATAAAATAAAGTCTATACTGTAGTTTATATATATTGAACACAAAATATACTATTAATAAACTAGTAACACCAGAATGGCTACCAGTCAATGAGCTTTTCAAGCTACCTAATTAAATATTTCACATCATCATGTTACATCAGACCAATGCGGTCTAACAAGCCATGTCGATAGGCTATGGATAAACCAATACACGTATACGCGTTAATTAACGCGTACATGTGTGATATAAATAAAACTTCACTAACATGAGAATCAACAAATGCTTACAATGTAGACATTGAAATTGTAACATATTTTAGCTTCTTGATGCGAGAATTATGCTAATACAGCAATGCATGCAGCATAGCGAATATATTAAAATATCATATGTCAGACAATCATTAACAACACCGATGGCTTGGTACTCCGGTTTATAAACCTTTAATATGAACTGAAGATACATCACTATAAAACCATAATTTATCTATCTACCTTATTGCAGTGCAAGCTTTGTCTTTCTCTAGCAGTAGCTCTCTCAGCCTCTCTGCGCCAAAATTTCTAGCGAGGCTTCTGCTTGTGTTGTCGCTGGCGCCGCTCAGTAGCTTGTAAACAAAATTCGTCCGTGAGGCATCGATATTCTTTTCAAGCTCCGTATACAAACGTACGTTGTATAGCCAGATTTAACCCCCGAATCCGTCAACTTTCATGCGTAAGACCGCTGTTCG